GTGTCAGAGAGTCATTTAGAGATGGTCCAGTTTTGGACATCCATTTGCGCGTGTAGGTTCCTGTTATAGAGAGTTGGATGCCTCGTATACCTTCTCCAAGCCTTGTACTTCGCAGTAGCAGCCCCTCGACAACGAAAGTCTAACCAAGGTTGATCTGAAGACCTCGACACGTACTGATAGTAAAGGATGTATTTATGCTGAGTATTAAAGATATATTTTTTGAAAGTATCCATTCTCTAAACTCTACATATACTAAATAAGTTGTAAACAAAAATGCAAATATACTCTAGTTCTGAGTTTAGTTTTTTCATTGTATATACACTGACAACTGCAGTATATATACATCAGGACCGTGTATATCCTTCACTGCATTAGTGTAGTGCTCAATAAACTTGCCGCTCAGGCGGCACATCGAGTATATAAACAGTTTATTTTGGTCCCTGTTTCAGGGATTACAGTATTGTTGACCTGTGGTTTATGGGCGAAATACAGCCTTAGTGACTGTAGTGCAGTCGATAAGCTTCAAACCTATCTATCCAGTCAGTAACTATTCATTGAATAGGAGAGTGTTAGAGATTCAGTTTTAATTTTTGAGATATTATACCCTTGTTTTAAATAATAATAATAATAATAATAATAATAATAATTAAATTGTGCTGCTGAAATTAGATTTATATAACATGAACTATTATTATTATTATTATTATTATTATTATTATTATTATTATTATAGGAAATCGTTAAGCCAGGGTCGTAGATCGCTAAATACGACGTGAAAAGCCCTTGGGAGAGAAGCGAGCAATGGCATGATACCAGATCTTAATCTTTGACGAAGCTATGGTGTGAAGTGTGTCAGAGTGGCACTGAGTGACACTCAGTGCCACTGAGTGCCACTCCACCTGATATATGCACCGTTTATGCTCAAGTCTTGACAAACTAAATATTTACCCCCACACACACACACACTGACGCAAGACTCGTGTACGCAACGCACACTGACGCAAGACTCGCGTACGCAACGCACACTGACGCAAGACTCGTTTACGCAACGCACACTGACGCAATACTCGCGTACGCAACGCACACTGACGCAATACTCGCGTACTCAACGCACACTGACGCAAGACTCGTGTACGCAACGCACACTGACGCAAGACTCGTGTACGCAACGCACACTGACGCAAGACTCCACGAAGAGGTATACGGCGATGATAGGCCTGTGTAATAACACCTGGGTATCTTTATTTGTCGACGTTTTCACCCACAAAAACAATCTGAAAGCTTGTTTTTGTGGGTGTATTTGTAAGCTCCTGTATGAATGGTTGTAGATGTAAGCTCCTGTATGAATGGTTATAGATGTAAGCTCCTGTATGAATGGTTGTAGATGTAAGCTCCTGTATGAATGGTGTGATTGTAAGACTCCTGTATGAATGGTTGTAGATGTAAGCTCCTGTATGAATGGTTGTAGATGTAAGCTCCTGTATGAATGGTTGTAGATGTAAGCTCCTGTATGAATGGTTGTAGATGTAAGCTCCTGTATGAATGGTTGTAGATGTAAGCTCCTGTATGAATGGTTGTAGATGTAAGCTCCTGTATGAATGGTTGTAGATGTAAGCTCCTGTATGAATGGTTGTAGATGTAAGCTCCTGTATGAATGGTTGTAGATGTAAGCTCCTGTATGAATGGTTGTAGATGTAAGCTCCTGTATGAATGGTTGTAGATGTAAGCTCCTGTATGAATGGTTGTAGATGTAAGCTCCTGTATGAATGGATGTAGATGTAAGCTCCTGTATGAATGGTTGTAGATGTAAGCTCCTGTATGAATGGTTGTAGATGTAAGCTCCTGTATGAATGGTTGTAGATGTAAGCTCCTGTATGAATGGTTGTAGATGTAAGCTCCTGTATGAATGGTTGTAGATGTAAGCTCCTGTATGAATGGTTGTAGATGTAAGCTCCTGTATGAATGATTGTAGATGTAAGCTCCTGTATGAATGGTTGTAGATGTAAGCTCCTGTATGAATGGTTGTAGATGTAAGCTCCTGTATGAATGTGTAGATGTAAGCTCCTGTATGAATGTTGTAGATGTAAGCTCCTGTATGAATGGTTGTAGATGTAAGCTCCTGTATGAATGGTTGTAGATGTAAGCTCCTGTATGAATGGTTGTAGATGTAAGCTCCTGTATGAATGGTTGTAGATGTAAGCTCCTGTATGAATGGTTGTAGATGTAAGCTCCTGTATGAATGGTTGGGAGGGAAGGAGGGACAATGTGGCTCTGTATGCGCATGTGTACAAGTACGAATGTATACTTCACATGTATGTATATGTGCATTTGTGTGAGCGAATGTATTATTATGTGAATGCTTACATGCACACTTGTGTATGTATGAATGTATATATAAAATATATATATATATATATATATATATATATATATATATATATATATATATATATATATATATATATATTAATATATATATATATATATATGGCCACAGTACACATAGCGGAATTATATACAAACATTCAAAGATTCGAACCTATACACTCTGTATCAACGCACTCAATGCTTACACACGTGTGTGTAGGTGTGTACTCACCTATTTGTGGTTGCAGGGTTCGATCCACAGCTCCTGGCCCCGCCACTTCGCTGGTCGCTACTAGGTCTACTCTCTCCCTGGTCCATGAGGTTTATCGTACCTCTTCTTAAAGTTATATATGAATCCTGCCTCCACTACATCACTCTGTAGATTGTTCCACTGCCAGACAACTCTATGACTGAAGAAATACCTCCTAGCATCCCTGTTACTCATCTGAGTTTTCAACTTCCAGTTGTGACCCCTTGTTGCTGTGTCCCATCTCTGAAACATCCTGTCCCTATCCACTTGGTCAATTCCTCTCAGTATTTTGTATGTCGTTATCATGAACCCCCTATCCCTCTTGTCCTCCAGTGTATGTTTGGCACTCACCTGTGTGTGGCACTCGTGTTTGTGGCACTGTGCTTACCCTATAACCTTTAACAAAGGTCGCCCCCTTCCGTTTTCTTTGTCGTGAAGTGTAGTCTAATCTCTCTCTCTCTCTCTCTCTCTCTCTCTCTCTCTCTCTCTCTCTCTCTCCTCGCTCACGCACACATACCAAAACAGGCCAAGTGTCAATTGACAAGTGCCTTTGACAACTAGTAACTACTACTACACACACACACACACACACACACACACACACACACACACACACACGGACTCGACCCCCGCAACCTCAACTAGGTGAGTACTAGGTGAGTACACACACACACACACACACACACACACTGGAGGACAGGAGGGTCAGGGGAGACATGATAACGACATATAAAATACTGCGTGGAATAGACAAGGTGGACAAAGACAGGATGTTCCAGGGAGGGGACACAGAAACAAGAGGCCACAATTGGAAGTTGAAGACACAAATGAGTCAGAGAGATAGTAGGAAGTATTTCTTCAGTCATAGAGTTGTAAGGCAGTGGAATAGCCTAGAAAATGACGTAGTGGAGGCAGGAACCATACACAGTTTTAAGACGAGGTTTGATAAAGCTCATGGAGCGGGGAGAGAGAGGGCCTAGTAGCAACCGGTGAAGAGGCGGGGCCAGGAGCTAGGACTCGACCCCTGCAACCACAAATAGGTGAGTACAAATAGGTGAGTACACACTGGCTTCTGGAGTTCAATCCCACCAAGTGCAAAGTCATGAGGATTGGGGAAGGGCAAAGAAGACCGCAGATGGAGTACAGTCTAGGGGATCAGAGACTACAAACATCACTCAAGGAAAAAGATCTTGGGGTGAGTATAACATCAGGCACATCTCATGAAGCGCACATCAACCAAATAACTGCTGCAGCATATGGGCGCCTAGCAAACCTCAGAACAGCATTCCGACATCTTAATAAGGAATCGTTCAGGACCCTGTACACCGTGTACGTTAGGCCTATATTGGAGTATGCGGCACCAGTTTGGAACCCACACCTAGCCAAGCATGTAAAGAAACTAGAGAAAGTGCAAAGGTTTGCAACAAGACTAGTCCCAGAGCTAAGAGGTATGTCCTATGAGAAGAGGTTAAGGGAAATCAACCTGACGACACTGGAGGACAGGAGAGATAGGGGGGACATGATAACGACTTACAAAATACTGAGAGGAATTGACAAGGTGGACAAAGACAGGATGTTCCAGAGACTGGACACAGTAACAAGGGGACACAGTTGGAAGTTGAAGACACAGATGAATCAAAGGGATGTTAGGAAGTATTTCTTCAGCCACAGAGTAGTCAGGAAGTGGAATAGTTTGGGAAGTGATGTAGTGGAGTCAGGATCCATACATAGCTTTAAGCAGAGGTACGATAAAGCTCATGGTTCAGGGAGAGTGACCTAGTGGCGACCAGTGAAGAGGCGGGGCCAGGAGCTTGGACTCGACCCCTGCAACCTCAACTAGGTGAGTACAACTAGGTGAGTACACACACACACACACACACACACACACACACACACACACAAACACACACACACACACACACACACACACACAGGTTCCGTGTAACCTCCCCACTCCCTCTCAAGAACACATTACTCCCACAGAAATATATGAAGTAAACACACAGTGTACATACACTGACAGACATACACTCGTGCTGATATACACACTTCCTGTGGTGAGTGTAGCAACGCCAAGTGATTATCTTTGAAAGAGCTGAATGACTCTTGGCTGTCAGTCTCTTTCACGTGCTGTCATCCCATGCCTCTGAATAATAGCTGTATTACTGATAATTCAGTTTTATATACTGACAGCCACGTTATGTTGCTGATAACTCGGTTATAGATGCTGACAGCCAGATTATATTGCTAATAACTCGATTATGTATTCTGACAGCCCAGTTATATTACTCATATCTCAGGTATATACACTGACAGTCCTGGTATATCGCTGATATCTCAGTTATATGTATTGACAGTCCTGATACGATACGATAGGACTCACAGGTAAGGACCCACGAGGGGCGAGGGGCAAGTGGGGACAGTACGAAGAATAGACGGTGAGAGGAATGTCTTGAGTCGAAGAGAGAAGAGGCAGGACTAGACCCAACTGCTAAGCCAAAACTAACAATGACGAAAGACGATGTAGAGACAACAGGAACTCTGCAGGTGTTGACTGCAACTTGCTGGATGGAAGATTGCTGCTTCTTGATGGTGATTGGTGGCTGCAGGCGACAAGGGAGGAGCTTAACGTTGATTGGTCATTTCATAATGGCTTGGTGGTTATTTGGAATTGTGGCGTTTTTTGATGAAGAAAGCATCTTTGGCGAGGCGAGTTCCATTTTTAAGATGTTTAAATCGTTGGAGAGGAATTATCATGAGACGAGTTAACAAGTGTTGATATCGAGGATCTTGACTCAAATTTTCAGCATGCTCTATAAGTCTGGAAAGTTCAATGGGACTATCTTCTTTGGAATGTCCGACGACATACTTGACTGTCTTGTTGATGAGGTGAGATTTTAGTTCATCTGGCTCCATGTCTTGAGGATAGTTTACTGTGGTACAGAAAGATACTCTTCCCCAATCAGTATACTTGTCGTCATCTTCATCTGGTACAGTATCGAATCTTGGGTCTTGGGATGGTATTGTTAGTGCTGGAGAATGTACATTTTCATCTTCATCTTCAATGGACAAATGGGAAGATGTTTCTGGTGGAAAGGCTTCTGATTGGTCGGTTTCTTTGAGGAGTGGAGACGATGGAAACTTCTCATTGGACGTTGTTGGAGTGACGTCACTAGTTGTTGGTGGTGTTGGAGCTGCAGGCGTAGAGGTGTTAATTAGGTCCTTGGTGAATTTTAGTATTTCTTCCGAAGGTGGAGATGCTGGGAATATGAATGCTGGTATATTATTCAATGCAAATAACTCGTTGATGGTAGAGTTAAAGGATCCGGGTACAGCCATGTTCTGTATGTGAGCGTATAATAAACAGTAGTGGATCTTGGTTACGTCACATGTTGGAGGAGTAATGATGGTGGAGGCAGACTGAGTAGATGCTTGAAGTAATTTAGTAGTGGTTGCTTGTATTTTAGCAATTGCTGCATATGTTGGAGTGTTGCTAGTAGGTTTTTTATTTGCTGCATCTTGTGTTTTCTTCATGATATCCTTTCTTGTAGGACATTTTGCTGCTAGTGTATGGTGGTCATTACACTTGCAGTTTAACCCTCACTACCACATGTAGTGCAGAACTTCTTGTCTTTTACTGGACATGCTTTGGTGGTGTGATGGTATGAATAACAGTTCCAGCAATGTTGGATGTAGTGATATCTCTCTGCTTCAATGTAGGAAGGGCTGATGTAGTAGTAGTAGACAGCAAGACCTTCGTTCAGAGCAGTGGCAGCCATGTTCACGTCGGTGAAGGTGACCTTGATCATGGACGTTGCAGTTGGAATTTTTGTAATGCTGTCAACAGTAGCCCAGGTATTTTGCGACTCGATGGATGACTTGAGTTCAGCAGTTGATTGAGACGTCAGAATCTTGTCAAGTTTTTTAAGGAATACTGATTTCCTTGCCCTGAGGGCAGGAGATGACGTAACAGCAAACCCTTGAGCAGTAAGAGTTGTGGTGGCTTCTGTAGTGAGTCGTTTCTCTGCTTCAGCATCATCGTGACACACAACAATGAATGCTTCCTTCAGGGACAAAATGGTGTTGAATTTTACTTGCAGTGCTCCCTGAACAGCGGTTGCAAGAGCAATCTTCGTTGAATCATCAACGATACCACTTGTTGGCTTGATCTTTACACGATTTGCGTAGCTCATCGTGCAAGTCAAGGTGAAGACGACGCTGGTAAAGGTTCCCCTCCCCAACGGGGATCGTAGGGAGACAGAGTAAGGAGAGCTGCTATGACCTGCCTGGGCGAGAGTCAAGAGGAGAATGTCTCGTCTGTTGTCCAGTCCTGATATATTGCTGATACCAGGTTTATATACTGATAGCCTAGCTATAATACTGATATCTCAGTTCTGTATACTAATATCCAGGTTATATTGCTGATATCCTTGTTATCAACTAATTTCCGGGTTATATACCAGATATCCCAGGTATCAGATATCAGCTCACACACTCAGGCGTCCAGGATCGATACCTGAAATGTCTTTCCTTACACCTGCTGCCCTTGTTCACCTAGCAGTGAGTATTAGACACACGTGCAACACCTGGGTATCTTGTAGATGTTTCGCCATCCAGTGGCGAAACGTACAGTACAGGGACATAACTGGAAGACTGTTGAAATGTATGTACTACAGGAGACAGTGGAAGGCTAGGTAATCAGTCCCTCAACCTTGAATGTGCTTCAAGGCTGAGGGACTGGTTGCCTGGCCTACTGTCCTCTGTTTATTTTTCAACAGTCTTCAGATTGTGTCTGTGTATTGTACTGATAAAGCCACTGGATGTCTAAACGTCTACAAGTAAAGCTACCCAGATGCTGCACATGTGTCTAATTCTTCAACGTGTCTGTATACAAGTGATATACCTAGCAGTAAGTAGGTACTTGGGTGTTAGTCGACTGTTGTGGGTCGCATCCTGGGGGGACAAGATTAGTTGTATTATGTACATATAGAAATAAATTATTATTATTATTATTACCTGATATTAGTATCACGTCTGCCTTTTCTGATATCGAAAAATTTCTGTATAAATTCCAGTTTGAAAGACTTTTTTTTTTTTTGGCGTGACATAATTATTTATTAAAGTGAATAACCCAAGAAAGTCAGTGTGATTTATTTCCATTAATACCCGTGGGATGATTACTTAAATAAACTACGCTGAAGACCACTGGTGGTCTTTAAAGTAGGTTATCTTAATACCTGACAGCTTAAGAGGCATAGATAGGTCAGCTGTGTCCCACTAGGCTGGGTCTGGGCAGTCGCTCTCGAGTCACGGCATCGATGTGGCTCAAATCAAATCAAATCAAAGTTTATTCTCTATGAGGATTTCAATGCGCCAGTGCCTATTGCTGCTATAAATTAGAGATTTGATAGGACTTACATTTGTGTGTGTGTATCTTGCCCTTATGGCAGAGATATTTATTGGGTGTACATCAGTGGTATACAGTGCCGAGAAAATGAACAATTAGACACATGTGCAACATCTGGGTATCTTTGTTTGTAGATGTTTCGCCATCCAGTGGCTTTATCAATACAATACAAGGACTTAATGTGAAAAAATTATATACGATGCTCTTCACCAACTCCAAGACTGAGGGACTGATTGCCTCATATTTTGTGTACATTTCTTCACATTATGTCCTTGTACTGATAAAGCCACTTGTTGGCGAAACGTCTACAAATAAAGATACGCAGATGTTGCACATGTGTCTAATTCTTCATAATTATTGTCATTTAAACACTGTCTCTGCTTCAGTTCTCCTTAATGATCGTTCAAGTATGAATAAGCGTCAGGTAGGCTATACGGTCGGCCACGAATTTACTTTTCCGTACAGTGTTCTGCAGTTGTACACTCCCTCAGTCGGAATGATCTTACAAAAGTTTTGTATACAAGATATCCTGGCGTCATTCACGACTCGTTATATTGGCGCAATAACGCTGACAGAACATCTGAAAAAACATGGATGCCAGCTATCACTACTTCAAGGAACCGATTTTCTTGATTTCGACGTCTTTCACGTTGAGTGTTACTAGTAATATAGACTAGGCACTTATTGCTACTTAATATTAAAAAGGCTAAATAAATATTTTTTTTTTGTCTAGCAAACAATGTTTCGCGAGAATTTGGGAGCGGTAAAGTCTTAGTTCAGTCTCCAGCCTGGCATGTGCATATCATCTGCGTCCAGTTGTAATCTAAATCTGCTTGATAAGGAGCACTTCGTAGATGTGAGGTGTTCCTTCCACGTACGGATTCGATTGCCAAACCACCCGATGCCGGAACGAGAGAGGGGGGTCGCAGCTCCCTAATGCTCCACGACCCACAACAGTCGGCTAACACCCAGGTACCTAGCTACTGCTAGGTGAACGGGAATCAATAGGTGTAAGGAAAAAATGCCTACTGTTACCAGGATTGAATATGTGCCTCTCAGATGTGACCTGAAGGCACTACCGTTGGCCGTTGTGAAACACCTGAAAACACCCGCGTCCGAACACACACACACACAGGCGCATATAACAGGGAGGGCACTGCAATGGATCAAGGAATACCTGACAGGGAGGCAGCAACGAGTCATGGTACGTGAAGAGGTATCACAGTGGGCGCCTGTGACGAGCGGGGTCCCACAGGGGTCAGTTCTAGGACCAGTGCTATTTTTGATATATGTGAACGACATGATGGAATGAATAGACTCTGCAGTGTCACTATTCGCGGATGATGTGAAGTTGATGAGAAGAATTAAATCGGATGAGGATGAGGCAGGACTGCAAAGAGACCTGGACAGGCTGGACATGTGGTCCAGAAACTGGCTTCTCGAATTCAACCCTGCCAAATGCAAAGTCATGAAGATTGGGGAGGGGCAAAGAAGACCGCAGACAGAGTATAGGCTAGGTGGACAAAGACTACAGACCTCACTCAGGGAGAAAGACCTTGGGGTGACCATAACACCGAGCACGTCACCGGAGGCACACATCAACCAAATAACTGCTGCAGCATACGGGCGCCTGGCAAACCTGAGAATAGCATTCCGATACCTTAATAAGGAATCGTTCAAGACACTATACACTGTGTATGTTAGGCCCATACTGGAGTATGCAGCACCGGTCTGGAACCCACACCGGTCAAGCACGTCAAGAAGTTAGAGAAAGTACAAAGGTTTGAAACAAGGCTGGTCCCAGAGCTCAGGGGAATGTCGTACGAGGAAAGGTTGAGGGAAATCGGACTGACGACACTGGGGCAGAAGGGTCAGGGGAGACATGATAACGACATACAAGATACTGCGGGGAATAGACAAGGTGGACAGAGATAGGATGTTCCAGAGAGGGGACACGGAAACAAGGGGTCACAACCGGAAGCTGAAGACTCAGACGAGTCACAGAGACGTTAGAAAGTATTTCTTCAGTCATAGAGTCGTCAGGAAGTAGAATAGCCTAGCAAGTGAAGTAGTGGAGGCAGGAACCATACATAGTTTTAAGAAGAGGTATGACAAAGCTCAGGAAGCAGAGAGGGAGAGGACCTACCTGGAGTTTACCTGGAGAGAGTTCCGGGGGTCAACGCCCCCGCGGCCCGGTCTGTGACCAGGCCTCCTGGTGGATCAGAGCCTGATCAACCAGGCTGTTGCTGCTGGCTGCACGCAAACCAACGTACGAGCCACAGCCCGGCTGATCAGGAACCGACTTTAAGTGCTTGTCCAGTGCCAGCTTGAAGACTGCCAGGGGTCTGTTGGTAATCCCCCTTATGTATGCTGGGAGGCAGTTGAACAGTCACGGTGCTGTGACTGACATCCTTGTCTATGTCGGATATGAGGATGAGGAACAAGATGGGAGCGAGTACTGTGCCTTGTGGAACAGAACTTTTCACCGTAGCTGCCTCGGACTTTACTCTGTTGACGACTACTCTCTGTGTTCTGTTAGTGAGGAAATGGCGATCAGTGAAGAGGCGGGGCCAGGAGCCGAGTCTCGACCCCTGCAACCACAATTAGGTAAGTACAATTAGGTGAGAAAATAACTACTAACTACTAACAACAAAAACTTCTGCTGCTGTACTCTAACTACTAACTACTTCTGCTACAAGTAACATACTACTACTACAACTATCTGCTTCTAGTACTACTACTACTAACTTACTACAACTCTGCTACTTACAAACTACAATAACTACTACTACTACAAACAACTTCTTTACTTCTGCTACTAGTAACTACTATACAACTAGTACTACTACAACTTCTGCTTCTACTACTACAACTACTAACCTAACTACACAACTTCTGCTCTATTACTAGCTACTACTACTTACAACTCGGCTACTACTACTATACTAAACTATAACTACTACTACAACAACTTCTGCTACTAGTACTTGACAATAACTAAACTACACAGACAACAACAGATTTTTTTTATCCTGCTACTAGTAGCAACAAACTAACAACAACTCTGTGCTAATACTATAACATACTACTACTACAAATTCTGTCTTGCTACGATTACCTGCTACTACTTCTGCAAGTAAGTACTAAACTACTAACAACTTACTATCTACAACTAAACATTAACTTTTCCTGCACTACAACTACTTATTACTAGCTTTTTGCTGACTAGTACTAACTAACCTGGCACTACATCAAAAAAACTTCTGCTACTACTACAACTTTTACTGCTACTAGTACTCTATACTACTACAACTTCCTGCTACACTACCAATACTAGACTGTTTACTAATCTACTACTACTAACACACTGTTACTATATAACAAAATACCCTCACACCACCCAGCATAAAGAAAAGAATCAACACTGGTTATATGTTTGCAATAAAAAAATTCAACGAAAATAGTCCTGGATAACAATATTTGGGATTTTGTATTGCAGAAAATAATTATTGTTTCAAAACAACTGTTTATTGCAGTTCAAGAGGAAATAAATGATGGACGTATTCACAAAATAACAAACAATGTATAGTTTACTTAGAATTTTCAGGGGAAAAAACATCATTGCGAAGGATACGTGTGTTTTTTATGTTTTTTAAAAAAAAAAAACGTTGAAATCTTAATAAAAAATTTTTTTTTTTTTTTTATTTATTTTTTTTTTTTTTTTTTTTTTTTATTTATTTTTTATGATTTTTTTATTTTAGTTATTATTATAAGTTAGAATAGAGAATATTTATTAGTTTAGAATAAAGAAAAATCAAAGTATAAAAATAAAAAAATCTAGAAGAAAAATAATAAAAAAATTTAATAAAAAAAATATAAAATATACATGGAAGCCAGAAGGAAAATACCAAAAATTAAAGTTAAACAATAAGGAAAATGAAAGAATAAAAAGTAGACCAAAAAGCGTATATAAACGGACAGTGATAAGATTCATATGCATTCCATCCCCCTCCCACCCCTACCCCCACCCCGCCTCCGCCCTGACCTACTCATCCCCCCCCCTCGTCGTCCCCTTCCCTACATCTCCTTACTACCTGACACGGCCCGCCTCCCGTCTCCCAGAACCCCTTCCCTGTCCCTCGCCCCCCCATCTATCCACCCCAACCCTCCGCCACCACGACCCTCCGCTCCGCTCCACCCCCGACCGACGACCCCTCCCTAAGCAGTCCAGCCTCAAGACACACCCGACGCCCAGTCCCTCCCTTATACTCCACTTCAACCTAATCACCAGTGCACCCCCCGAACGCGCCTCCTTCATTCCCCCCCCCGCTACCCCAAGCCTGAGCCCCCCCCCCCTTCTCCCCCCGGTCCCCTTCATTCGTCCAACCCCCCGCCCACCACTCCTACGCCCTTCCTGTCGCTCTCCCCACCCCCTCGCCTCCTACTCCACCGTCTCAGTCTCCTTCCTCCTCCCTCCCTCCCCTGCCCCCTCCTCCCCTCCTCCCGAGAACCTTTGCTTCCTCCCTCCCCTGAACCCGACGAGAACCCCGGAACGCCTCGATCGCTCTACCCGATCTCCCCCGCCTTCGATGACGCCACCCCCCCCCTCAGCTACCCCACACCTCCCTCCCAATTCATCTCCCCATTACCCCACCCCCCCCCCCCCCCCCTCCCCCCTCTCCACCCCCGCTCCACAAATCATTAACTACCCTTCCCCCCATACACTTAACCCTAACATAACCCACCCCCTTTTCACCCACCACTACCAATATAAAAGACATACCCTACAAACCACCCACACGTTCCCCCGGGCGTATGTCCAAGTATTAGTTAATGATTAGCCAAGGACCCGCAATAAGCAAAATAATCACATAGTTATTAAAGAAACAGCTTGATGATGCAAAATGTACACACTCACCAGAAATGTTTATAACCACCAGACACATTAGTCTTGTCTTCAGTAATAAGCACTCATCGGATATCAGGAAGCAGTAAAGAATTCGAAGAACGATGTAAGACGTAGTCTTGAGTGTATCAGATCTCCCTCATGCCTAGGAAAAAGAGATAACAGCTATCATGGATCAAAACACGATCTCCACAGGTTGTGTATGTTAACACAAAATTCTTTTGCTCCCTGAGAAATACCTTTCGCAGAGGTACATTGATGGTCCCATTTAA